TATATATATATATATATATATATATATATATATATATATATATATATATATATATATATATATATATATAGTCAATAAGTGCCACTTTGTTGTGGAAATCAGACTGTTACAAGGATTCTTTTAGGCCTTTTTCAATTTGGGCCTGAGGGAAAGTACCAGAGATTTCCAGCCTAGTTAATTGGAAACGGATGAGCTGGAAGAAGGTACACTCCCACACACATGCAGGCAGAGATTAGGGAGAGAGGGGAAAAAAGAAAACATTCTCCTATTCTCATACTTCCGGTAAGATGGCGCCTGTGTACATGGCTTGCAATCAACCTCTGCTGATGGTGTTCGTATTTTTGGTGTTTTTTTCATTTCTCATCTGTGACATCAACTCTCTGCTGGTGTATGAATGAAAACAACTTTTGAATCTTCGACTTTGTGGCACCAATGTCGCTTATTTTGATCAATACGAGCGTAACTCTGGACCCCCCCGTCCCCCCCCCCCCTCCCCGTCCCCTCGCTGCTGGCGGACGTGCCTGCTTACCTGCAGCGAGGCGCGCACCTGCCTCCCCGGAGACATCGCTCAAGACGCCGTGGAAAACGCGCTGGCCGGCTGGTGAAACATAAAGCCCTGCTTGCTGCCTCTGAATCATCCTCTCCAGCTGATGGTGAGCGTTTCCACCTCCGATCCTGGCGCTGTGCAGATCCTGTGGCGTGCTGTTTGGTCCCGCTGTCGGGGTCCCATCATCACACTGGGCACGTGCGCGGCTGGGTTTCCTGACGGAGGCGCGCATCTAACTCTGCAAATCTGAGGCCGCTGGACTGGACACTGCAACCATCTCCTCCTGTGGTGAATTCTACGAGGATGGCCCTGATAAATGCCAGATCGCTGGCTAATGAAACTTTTATTTTGAACGACTTTTTCTGCTGCAACCGACTGGACTTTCTTTTCATCACTGAGACTTGGATCTGCCCTGGTGAGTTCAGTGTTTTTCTGGAATTACTGCCTCTGGATTGTTCTTTTTTCAATGCTCCAAGGACAACTGGTCGTGGTGGAGGATTATTGGCTGTTTTTAAGAAACATTTGCACTGCAGACAGCTCCATGGTTCAGCTAATTATTCGAGTTTTGAACTGCTCTGTTGTGAGCTGGGCCGCTCCAACCTAGTTCTTTGTGCTATTTTTTACAGACCCCCCGGATACCATAAACACTTTTGAAATTTTAAATGAACTCTTTGACTTTCTAACTGGTATTCTGCTCCAATATGATCGGGTTTTGATTTTAGGTGACTTTAATATCCACGTGTGCTGCCCTAATAAACCATTAGCTCAGGACTTTCTAGACCTCATCCAGTCCTTTAACTTTGTTCAGAGTGTTGTTGGTCCAACTCACCAGCAGGGCCACACTCTAGACTTAGTTTTAACACATGGTTTGTCTGTTTCTGATTTAGAAATTGGTGACACTGTTTGTTCCGACCACAAACCAGTTTTATTCAACACCTCATTGATTTGTGAACCTGCACCTCCCCCCACACCCAAGCCTTGTAGGATTTTTAACCCTTCCACCGCCACACTCTTCTCTTCCATCTTTGCTGGTAATTCTGTTTCAGACTCTGAACTCTCTGCGGGTCTTACTACAAAGGAGTTGCTTTCTCAGCATCAGGAGGCGTGTGTACAGATCCTGGACTCAGTCGCCCCGTTAAAGCTCAGGAATCGAAAACGCACGCCCCACCCTTGGGTAAATGAGACTACACGAGAGGCAAGACGCTTGTGCAGAAGAGCTGAACGTCGATGGAAAAAAGATAAACTTCAGTTGTCTTTTGAGATGTTAAAATCATGTTGGAAAGCCTATCAGACCACCGTTAAACAGGAGAATAACAAATATTTCTCAAAAATAATCAACTCAAACATTCACAACCCCCACGTTCTTTTCAGCACCATTAACACCATTCTAAACGTGCCTCAGTCTGCCACCATTGAGGCCTCTGTCGACACCTGTAATAAGTTTGT